GGAAACCAGCCCCGGCTCCCGGCCCCGCTGCCCAGCGCCCCCGGGCTGGGAGGGGAGGCCCCAGCCCGGCGCCTCATCCCAGCTTCGCTTGTCTGTGCTGTCCATCGTGTATCGTGCGTTTGAACAACTGGTTTACACTGTTGCCGTAAAAGTGAATTTGGAAATAAAGTCATTACTACAATAAGAGCCGCCTCCGTCGCATGCGGAAAGGGAGCCGGGAAGGGGGGAGCTCGGAGCAACCCTCCGCCTGCGTTTTCCAACACGCTGGGGTCGACGCTCCCAGGAAAGGCCAGCGGCAGCCCCTGGGCCCGCGTTCACAAACACAGGGCCCGGCACCACCATCTCTTTTAATTTTTTTTTAATCTTTTTTTTAATCTTTTTTTTTCTTTTTTTTTAATAAGCACATTTGTGCTTTGCCAACAGAATCAAGACATTAACAAAGATCAGCTTCTCGGAAGAAAAGCATTTCTATATAACAAGGACATTACACAGCTCAAAGCAGGAAAAGAAAATATTTACAAAATACAAGGTGTTTTTTTTGTGGTTTTTATAATGCTAAAAGGGTTATTCAGAATTTTCAACCTTATAAATAGAAAAGCACTTATGCAGAGGGATATGGTAGCATTGTTTTGTCTTTAAAGAAACGATGACAAATCCTTTAAACTAGAACAGAACCAAAAACACTAGATAATGTTGAAAATTGTGAAAACCCCAACCATTAAGCAGTTTAGCTACTATTTCTTTACGATTACAAAATGGAAAAAAAAAATGTCCTTTGTATTTTTTTTCCTTTTTTTTTTGGTGATGTGATTATACATAAGACAGGCACAATGCTAGCAACAGGACAGGGACCAAGACCGCTCCGGCAGCACGGGAAGCGGCGCGGGGGGACGGTGCGCGGGACCCGGGACAACAGCCAAGTTCGGTTCAAAATGGAAGGGCCCCGTCCGGAGGCGGCCGGAGCGACGCCCGGGTGCGGAGTGCGCGGGCACGTGGAGCGAAGCAGTGGCGACAGATCCCGATTCTCCCCCAGCACCGGCCACCACGCAGCCCCTGCGCTTGCTGCTCTTCCCTCTTTCTCCTTTTTT